TAACAAAATATAATAGTGAACTGTAATGTGTATAACATATTTGCAAGAGCTGTTAATTACTTATATAAGTTAAAACATTTATTATATTGAATAGTCGAAGAAAAATATAATCAAGTAACTCACTTTATTTAATTATGACTCTGTATAATTGTTTATATTGTCGATACATTCAAATCTTATTTTGAAATCTCAAAATCTTACTTTTAATTATAAATAATATATATTGATTCTTATAAGTTACTTATATACAAGGTAGTAAAGTATTTATTATAATTGTTTATTAATATTATAAATTATAATTATTTTTACTACATTATTAACAGGATACTTAAAAAGTTACTTGTACCAGAAATTAATTCAAAATATAAGAAATCGATACCGAAGATAAATGTAAAGGTACCTTACAATGACTTCATTGTGATCAATGAAAATCTAAATTATATTTTACTTGGAAATATCATTCCAAATTAATCTATATTTATGATTATTTTTGGTTAACTACATTCTCATACACTGTTCTCTTACACACATTTTTGTTAATATAACAATATATAAAAAACTAAAGCTGAAATGATTAAAAGATGTGATTCAATTCATCCAAATACTTAATTAGACTTTATTTATAACATTATTTTTATAACATAATTTATGGTTATAGATTATAAAAATGTATAAAGAACTTAAATAAATATTATTTAACTTACTAGAAATTACCATCTATTAACTGGATGAAATAAGAAGTGTAGAAGTATGAAATACCATTAATTTTTTAATTTTTTACTATTGCAAAGTAATGACTCTCAATAATTATAGGAATTAAAGTAAAGTTATTTTTATTATATTATAACTTATGATAAACAATATTTTATTATAAAAAAATCTATGCAGTAATCAATTCTTTTTGCAATATACATTTTTATTTAATCATGTTGAGCCATTATGCATGTTTGAATCGTGTGAAGTTTAAATTATTAAGTTATAATGAAAAAAATACAATATGAGTGGTATATTAACATATTTATGTTTCCTGATATTTTCAATGAATAATAGCAATATACATTCAAATTTGATAAACTTTCAGTATTCTAAAACTTGTACAAATTTTTATAAGCTGATAAATAACATAATGTTAATATACAAAGAGATTTAGCTTTTATTAGAGGTAGATTAGAGGTAGTTTATTACAAATCTATATATTAGTAATTGTTCGGAAAATAACTCCACAATATTGTGGAAAAAACCCACTAGATATTGTGTGGGGTTGCCGGGCAAGTAAAGGGTTAATGCATCGATCTAATAATTAACATATATCTTTATTATTACTGTTTATTTCATTTATTTTACTTTATTTCCAATTCGAATCATTAACCTTGGTGAAATTACAAATGATCTTTATATTTCTTAATAATCTTGTAGTGTTAATATATCTGTTTATTGGAGAATTAGAGGATAATCAATTTCTTATTCTGTGCATGTAACTGGTGAGATTATGATTTACTGTAACAAGAAGTAGGTTATATAATCTATTGAATATTATCACTTAGAGGTTATCGTTATTGTAGTGCTCTGATCGAACATTACAATATTATTGTGTCTCATCTCAACACGTGTGCAGTTGCCTCTAAATATCGATCGTAAGAGAGCCTAAATGGAGGTTATGCGAAGCTGTGCGCCATCTGTGGCGGGAACAACTTGTAGTTGGAGGGATTGAGAAGCCAATGTGGCTTTTGTAGCTGGTCTTGTTCAAGAGTATGTCCGGGAAGCTTCCGTAGTTGGACTTTAATCCGTCCGTCTTCTACATAAGCCGAGAAATCAAGAATGAGTACTAGCTGTAAGGAATTACTTGTAGTGTATCGTGATTTACCAGTCTGTCTTCGGTGGCTTGTTATGACGTTCCCTTGCAATGTTGCAACTCTTTAGTTCTTCCTTGTCTCCAAGTGAGATTACAAGTGGTCAGGTCCTATGCAATCCAGTCTTGATGAGATCAATTCAACTGTACACTAATTCACAATCGTGGAAAGAACTTCTTATTAAAACTCAGCTAGCTAAACGACTTATCTCTCCGGTCCTCCTCCGTGAGAGTAGGTCGTGACTTATCCTTCAACTGTGAGAAGTATTTGGAAGGATTAAGTCGTGACTTATCCTTATACTGTAACAAGTATTTGGAAAGAGTAAGTGAAGGTACATTACGTAGTCCCTTCTTAAATGGTTCACTGATCCCGCTCCACTTGGGATCCCTTCTTCCTGTATTAATTAATCAATCAGAGGTTGATCTTGGGTCGTACAATAGATTATGCACGCCTTCATTTCCACTTCCTTCCGGGCTCAGTTCCGAATTTGCTAATCGGGAAAGTGTCGGAAGGTGGCGAACCTTTTCCATTGGTCACCTCTCCGTGGTTGCCCCATCCCTCTCTGGGACTTGGCTAGAAGATGGGTCCGCTTGGGCGTGGTCAATTTTCCAATACGATCGACCAGATGTGGCATAGCCAAGAACAATGCAAGCTTTGTCTTAAAGGCCGAGTGCGCACGTATGGTCATTGCATGTTGTCGCACGTACGGGTTTTGGGTTGTAGTAAATGTTTTGTACTCAGTGCTTTACGCATATCTGATATTCGTTCTGAATGTACTTTGGGGTTCTCCCGGCAATAAACCCATTAAGTTCTACTGCACTGGGAGTATGAGCACGTTTCGCTAGAGTTTTCCAAATGTTTTATGACACTAGTGCAAAATAATTATGAGCAGGAAAGTTTTGCAGTCTTAAATACAATTTTCATGATATTACTTGCCAGATGTTTTATTGCCTTACTAAACGAAGTCTCTCATTCCCAAACAAACAGTAATATCGATAATTATTGAGATAAAATTTAATATATTTTTTTCCAGGTATTGCAGAACATATCAAATTGATAATGTAATTACCAAACTATTGATTTAGTAGAGATAATACTTATTTAATATTTGTTTGTTTATGTAAATTACAATGCAAAAGTATTCAGTGTTCCGTTCTAATCGTGTTCGAGAGTGAAAAGAAAATCTCTCGAATTATATTTACTTGAAAAACCTTCAACAGCTAATAAAAAGGGAACTATCGAACGGATACGAAAAAATAAGAAAGTTTCGCCAAAGTTGCATGAGACTCGAAAAGGTTGTACATCTGTGAACTCGTAAACAGCCATTTATTGCCTTTCGTATTAAAGACGTAGTAATTGTTTTGAATGCAATAAAGACCCTTGCGACTTAACAACAAAACCCGGCTAGCTTGTTTATAAGAGTATATTTTGAGGATTAAAATATTTCTAAACAGTTGAATGAAAACATTTCTTAAAATCCGTTGCAACCCGAAACTCGGTACGCGCGACTCTCGACATTTGCGTCGCACGTGTGCCTTCAATGCCACAAGGGCATACGCATGCATTGTTGTCAAGTACGATAAAAGTTGCTGTTTGCATAGGCCAAGCGAAGACGCTTGACCAAAAATCACCCCCACCACGATGAGTCCCGGAGAGGGGCATATCTTCCACTTCACGCATTGCTGCCAGAGATACTCCTTCGATATTCTCTTTGTCTAAGCCTAATTTCGTATGAAGTGTGGGAAAAGGGCGTGCACATTCATCATGCCGCCGAGAAGCGGCGCGCCCTGATTGGAAAACTAAGACCAGAAGCTCCTTGAGTGGGGACTCATGGCAAGAGGCCTTAAAGATGGGAACAAGACAGCGAAAAAGGGCTGTTCGCGGGAGATTATCGGAATACGCATTCCGAGTGGGCAGCCAAAGGGCTGTCCGCGGGGGACACCAAGAACACGCAGTCCGCGTAGGCAGCCAAGGGCTTTTTCTTCCAAAAACGACAAATCATTCAGAGTGAGAGTAAGCAGTCTGGGGAAAGGTCAAGTAATAGAAATTAATTGTCCAAGAAAACCAAGCCAAAAAATTCACTCAACACAGAAATAAGTGCTAGTAATTCGCCACAAAAATAGTGCATGCTGATGAGTAAAGGAGTCACGCCGCACATGATTCGCGTCCCTCTCACCGCAAAGGCAGATCAAGAATAGTTCATGCTGGTGAGTAAAGGAGTCACGCCGCACATGATTCGCGTCCCTCTCACCGCAAAGGCAGATCAAGAATAGTTCATGCTGGTGAGTAAAGGAGTCACGCCGCACATGATTCGCGTCCCTCTCACCGCAAAGGCAGATCAAGAATAGTTCATGCTGGTGAGTAAAGGAGTCACGCCGCACATGATTCGCGTCCCTCTCACCGCAAAGGCAGATCAAGAATAGTTCATGCTGGTGAGTAAAGGAGTCACGCCGCACATGATTCGCGTCCCTCTCACCGCAAAGGCAGATCAAGAATAGTTCATGCTGGTGAGTAAAGGAGTCACGCCGCACATGATTCGCGTCCCTCTCACCGCAAAGGCAGATCAAGAATAGTTCATGCTGGTGAGTAAAGGAGTCACGCCGCACATGATTCGCGTCCCTCTCACCGCAAAGGCAGATCAAGAATAGTTCATGCTGGTGAGTAAAGGAGTCACGCCGCACATGATTCGTGTCCCTCTCACCGCTGAATCAGATTGAATTAGGATATCGCTGTAAATACGTTGATACATATTATATCTTCAATTATTGTTAGCCGGCGGCAAAACCGGCATATGACAACCATCAAGATTATCTCACACTCTCCAATCAGAAGTGTGCAGCAATTATTTATCTGTGCAATTTACATCAATTAAACGATTTCATAGCATCTTGTGTAGTGACACCTCCTGTATAAGAAGCCGATCAAGAAATCATATCTTCATATAAGATACAAGAAGATTCTACAACATCCATATGTAAATAGTGTAATAAATTGTATAATTAATATAATTAACCAACTCTCACGACTCTTGTACAGCCCCTACATCTCACCCCTTCCCGAGCGTCTGCTACGGCGGGCGGCAAACTAAGCTATTGAAGCATTGGCAGTTCGAGCCAAGAATTACATCACTACAACTTTCGAACAAATCGGAATGTATTTTGTTTCATGTATGTTTATAGGTAATGATAACGTTATCAAACAAATACAAAGTAAGGTAAGTATCAAAATGCATTTAGCTACAAGTAATCAATCAAGAAAAAAATTGCATGAGTAGAAACAATGTTGAATTTAATAATTTTACTGAAATATCTATACAATTAATTATATGTTATACAGAGAAACGGAAAAGTACATATCTAACTATACAGAAGCCCGAAGGTTTACTATGTATTATATAATAATTAATATTAATATTATTTTAAATGATTATTGTATACGTGGTATAGCTATCATCTATTAAATTTCGATGTTAATATATGTGTATTGTATATATTATAAATATTTTCTGAAAAAAATTAAAGAATCAATATGTATCTGAATTATAGATTGATATAAGAGTTGTCTTAGCCAATTACTAGTAAATGTTACTAAATATGATTAACAGATTGTAATTAATTGTATAAAGAATTATATTTTTTATTAAAATTTTTGTCGGTATATAATAAACGCCCCGTTTATTGCTTCTTATCAAACTCTGTTTTCCATTTTGAGTACTCTTTTTTTTATAAATCTTATTTTAATATTTAGACACTTGTGAATTTTGTTCACATTACGATGCATTATTATACATACTTTTTATTACATTTTAACTGTTTTTTTATCATATTATTGTTTATATATAAAATTTATTTTTATTTTATAATTTAAGTTTTTTGTTCAGGTTTATATATATTTTATTAAACATAATTTAGCAATGAACCACTTATCATGTTCATTACCGCAAAATGAGGTAAATGGGTTTAGAATATCTATTAAACGAAAGTGGACAGATTTATTAACAACCAAAATACCATATCGAAAGCAGTTTAATAAATATTATAAAAGGTAAAATTATTATTTATAATTATCGTTAAATCTCTAACAAAATGAAATTCTTTAGTTGAAAATATATTTTCTAAATTTCAGTTTCTGATAATATTATTAATTATACATATATGTTCGAAACTGTTTGACTTCTTGGCTCGAACTGCCAATGTTGCGATAGCTTTAATTTACCGCCCGCCCTAGCGGGTGCTTAGGAGGGAGTTTAGTGACAGGGCTGTAGAAATACAGTATGCGATTCTTCGAAAATATGGTTTATTTACAGTTATACTATTGTTTGATTGGATTTATATATTCTGGAAGGGTATACACTATATTCAGCCTCATCGTTGCAGTTGCTTCGAACTGATCTTGTGTTGAATATGTTGTCCTGATGCTCCTTGAGATGATAATGTCGTTGATATTGTAAGGCTCAGTAACTGTTTATGCACACTCCTTATTAGTGAAGGTGATTTGTACTATTAATAATAGCATCATGCTAGTTTGAAAGAACTGGCAATAATTAAGTATACTCATAAGAGTATGGGTTTGCTATTTTTCTAATAGCGTCATGCTAGTCTTGTAAGAACTGGCAATAATTTAGGTTGCGCAGACTTTGTGTATTAACAGAAATACAGTAGCCTTGATCTGACCCTGGGATGAACAGTTCACCATCCGGAATTACTCCTTGTTTATGGTAATATTGTTGCAGATTTTGCGAGGATCAGCAATGATTATACATGTTCCAAATGCGGGAGCGTGTCTTGGGTAGTCTGGCCCTTTCGTGGTATGAACACCTTTCAATTGCCGCAGAGGAGGGTTAATGCGTCTTCCTTCTATCGGTAGTTCACTTAGGGCTTGATCACTACATTATCACTATTAAGTGAGAGCACCATACTTTTTTGGCTTCTCCACGTAGACAAAGATTGTATCTGTTTTGTCCCCCCTTTTAAGGCCTCTAACACTGAGTCCCCGCTTCAGAAACACCTCTGCCTTAGGTTTCTCCCATCAGAGCGCACCTGTGTCTTCCTTCTTTAGAAGCAGTTTGGCTTCGACAGTGACCACATCGGCAAGAGTGCTTCTAGCGACAGCGCTTTCAGTCAGGGATCTCAGTCTTCTCTTGGCCTTCCCGCTAAGAGGAGCTCCTGACTGAAGCGTCCTCGCGTGGCTTGTACAAGTGGCAGCATGGATTGACTTGAAAACAGTGGATGCGCTGAGTACCGTTACATCGAAAATTTTGCGTGTAACGACTATTTCCAGATGTCTAATGAGCTGGGTTTTCCTAGATGTTTAGCTACAATGACTTTTCGCAGATGTTTAGCTCCAATGGTTTTTATAATATAATATTGTTAATATAATATTGTTTTTATTTTATTTATTCTTCAAAAATAATGTGAAGAAAAGTACTTTTTTTAAATAATGGTTTCTTATTTTTTGAAAATAATTAATAAAATTAAATACATAAATATTACAACGGGTATTATATTGTATTATATAAAATAGATATTATATTGTGTGTGTGTGTGTGTTATGAGTGAAATTTGTTATTACTTTTCAGTAAAATATTAAGTTTTGTGATATTTTGTTGTTGCTTTTAAACATTTCTTAAAATATTTGTCGTACAACAGTCGTATATAAAAGCTTGAAAAAGAATGATGTAGATCACTTATTCGAGAGATTAGAAAAAATACGCGAATAATTTAGGATCTTAATTGTTTGATAACTTTTGTGCAAAAATTTTTTTTTTTTGTAATCTATTTTCCTGTCATATATATATACAAAACTAATATCAATTCTAAATAAAAGGTATAATATATTTATATGTAATCCTAGATTGGAATTTTATCATAAAAGATACATCAATTAACTAAATATAAAAGCATGGTATTCCGTTGTTTATTTTGCCGTCGACAGATATTTCAAGAATATAAAAATTATTTCAGAAGAAACGAAAAAAATCTTACATTTGTAAACAAATTTATTGAAATTAAAAAATAGAATTTTATTATCTGTGCAAAATGCATTTTTTTCCATTTGTTATAATTTATATCATTTTTTGTACTGTAATATTATATAAATTATAAACAGTAAATGTAGGAAGCAATGTTAAAAACGTAAATAAATTAATTAATTCCTCACAATACGTTTCCGTTTTTTCTATTTTTGCCCGTTTTCTAGTGAATCAGTTAAATCATTTTTGGTAGATAATTAAATATTTATTTAATTTATAATTTACTATTATTAAGAAATATTAAAAAGATTTACCTAGTTAAATAATGACAATCAATATTTTTGTGTGTGATTTTAGTTATTGCATTGATTCCTCGTTCACTCTAAAGAGCAAGAATCAGTCGTGCGTTATTCTTGGTAAGTTTAAGAACATTTTATATTAATTTTACGGTGGTTAATGGAAATGTGTGTTTAAAATATAACAAATAATTTTATAAAAGAAAAATAAATTGAAAAAGTAAATATCAATCTTTCGAAAGGTTCTTCATTATATATAATTTATAATTAATATAGTAATGAAAAAAACACATGACTAAGCTAGTATTTATTATTATAAATATGTTTATATATAAATATATTTATAAATTATATTATTATTATCTATATAAATGTAATATTAGTATAAAAAATAATAATAATTTTTTATTGTTATTAAATTATATTATTTAATTTGATGATTAATATTTAGATGTTATATGATAAAATTTAAGTAAAATAAACAAAATAAATTAAAAAGCATGCTATGAACAATAACATCAAAGTGATAATAAATTGTTACAAATATTCATTTTATACTACTTTTACTTATATTTTATCTATATAATTCAGAAGTTTAATTTTTTACAGCACTTATTAATGGACGAGGAAAATTTAAATATGAAGTTGGATTAGCTATATTAGATTTATATTATCCACATCTAACTCTTTGCCAATTTTCTGATTGCTTTGGTTACTCTAATACTTTAGCAAAAATAAACATATACGAACCAGTTGAAATTATAGTGCCTGAAGCTTATTTAAATGAAAATTTTATTTCAATATCTTTATATCACAGAATAGTTCGTCAATTTAAAAAATCGCATATTACATTTATTTCATCTCAACATTTTAATGCATTGGTTGGATGGGATCTTATTGAAATTTATTGTACTAATGCATCATGTTTAATGAAACAGATTATTGAACATAAGTAAGAATTTTGATAATTGAGAAACTTATGTATACACACACATATATATATAAATTTTGCACAACTCATAATAATTCCATTTTAATTTAAACATAATATTTATAAATATACATGTTTATCAATTTATAAAAATTACGATTTATTTTCAAAAATTATATAGTTATCAAATTAGTATCAAATTTATTACTTATTGAGTAGTTTAAAATAATTATTCTTTACCCATTCAAAGAAGAAAAAGGTGTTATGTAGGAGAAACATGCGAACAGGTGGAAGAGATAGCGCATTGATTTAATATTTAACATATCTGTTTTTTGTGCTGTTTATTCCGTTTAATTTCTAACTACAGTAATGATTTTTTGTTGATGATGACAATAGTTGAGCTCTTGTAGTTCCGTGGCGGTTGCCACGTGACGTTAGCATGCACTACATGTAGAAGTAGGAGGTTGTAAATGTCTGAATCTCCGTGACGTACTCCGTTTGGTGGTATATTTTACCCTGGGAAGTGAGAGGTCGTAAATCTTTTATCACTTCTTTGAGTAGTGCCACCTAGAGGTGAGTCTTCAAAGGCATCGTACTCTTGAGGCACGATCTTTTCTATGTTGACTGTGCAATAGTGGATAGTAGAGCGTCTGCGCTTGATGGCGCGTAGTGTGAGCTTGTCTGTATATGCTTCGTGCACTTGGGGCACGAGCATTCTTGTTACTATAAGGTTTGCGTGTACCTTTCATAACGGCCTTGATCTTTGAAGTATGCTCATTGATACTGGATCCTTTAGAGACCTCGGTTTGAAGTTGATGACTATGGCGCCTTGAGTTGTGATACAGATGCACACGGTGACTTGGCCATGGCGTCCACGTAAGAACCACCACTCTTTTTGTGTATCCAATCAAAGCGCTTACGGCTTCGGCATATCTACATGGAGCACTCCAGCAGCATTTCTAGCGGCAGCGCCTTCAATCAGAGTTAGATTTTTAATTTTTATTGTAAAGACTATTCCCAGATGCCTAATGAGCTGGATTTTCACGAAGTCTGGCGACCTGTTTTGCAGATGTTTGCTTTTTAAAAGTTAACGACTGTTTATGGGCTTTGGTTTGACAGATGTTTAACAACTTGGGAAAGGTTCTCGCAATCGGGAACAATAATCAATACATTTTTTGATCTTTTATTTTACAACTTCTTTAAATTGAGTTCTTCTCATTCGGTCTTATATTTAGAAGTAAGAAAATTTTGCAGTATCTTAATATCGTTATAAAATAAATAGATAATTTAATGTTTTTATGGTTAATATATAAAAGTTCTTTTTTAAATGGGAATAGGTACAAGGAAAATAAATTCAGTTACTTTATTAAATAGTAATTAACATTACCCTTAATAGTTTAACTAATGAAGAAATGAACGTGACTATTCATATTTTTAAATGTTAATTTTTAATATAAATGGTAAAAGTTAAAAGAGACAGAATGAAAGAGTACTATGATGTAAATATAAATATCATATATAAATTAAAAAATTAACAAAATATTTACAAAGAAAATAAAATTAAACGACACTATCAGCTAAAACTCTATTTTTGATTATTTAAAAAAAAAAAATGGGTTTTGACGAGGACCGACTTTAAAATGTGGCTGTACCGCAAAAGAGGGTTACGTATAGTACGAAAATAGTTTGTGTTGTGATCGTGTTAGTGATTACTTGTGAATGCTTTGTGTATTTTTTGGGCTTACTGGTCGAGGTTGGAGACAGATAGTGTGCTTTATCAAGATACGTGAGATTCCTTTAATCTGTAGGAGTGGAGGGTGCTGAGATGCTCCTTCAGCACCTTCTTGCAGGTGATTGTTAAATGCTTGTACAATTGATGGCGTGTTCTCTCTTCGGCGGTTCAGATAATAGTAGCTCGTTGAATACGCACACGAAGCAAAAGACGTATTCACTCTGTGGCGGCTCTGCTGATAGAAAGCGCCTGTTCCATGATGATCCTACTAAGATAGACAGTATGCAGTGTCGTGGCGTTGTCACTAAGAGAGATAGCTAAGCTCGGAACGTGCTTGCTTTATATATCCACGCGACAGCTTAGGTAGATGGCAACAATGGATAGATGTTGCTGTGCAGAAGCTAGACTAATTTGGGAACTTTCGAGAATATAGCTATAGAAGTTTAGAGAACTTCACGCCATTCTACATTCACATTCAAACCATCAAGCTGCGTAGATGAGTATACATTTGCCACCGCAAACACATCACTTCCACCACATTGATTATTTCAATAATTAATAATAGTAATACTAGTCAGCCTTGTCATCAATAAATAACAGAATAAATAGCATATACACCAGCCGTATTATTATTGTATTATTATAATATCCTTTCCACTTGTGACCTTTCATCGTTACCACACAACACCCGTGGTCTCTGAGTTGTCAACGGCATCAATTTGTATCCTTCGAACCGGTCTTGGTAAAACAAGCCGGAACGGCGAATACATTTTGTACATGAAGTTATATACAATATTACATTTTTTATCGCGAAAATTTTTGTATAAATTATATAAATTATATATAAATTTTCTGAATATTGTCAAACGTAAATTCGTTTTCTTGAAATGCGATAACTTTATAAATATATTTGGGATGATACTATACATATTTAAAAAGGTCTACAATGCATAGATTTTCTATGAAATAAACAAATCAAATAGAATTTATACTATTTCAATATTAGTACGAAGTATATGAAAGATATAAAATCTCAAATCTATTAATACTTATATCTTCTACTCTTGTCGTCTTATCTTTTAACTTTATATAAAGTTAACGTTTGGGGAACGTATAAAGAATATATATATATATGTACCATTGTTAACATAGGAACAAAATAAAAATTTATTATCCATTTTGACAAATAATATGTATTTTATTATGGAACAAATTTTAATTTGTTCATTATTTATTTTCTTAATAAATGAACTATTAGAATTATATGTTCTATAACATAAGTCATTATTGGCATGTTCTATTAGTACAATTATTTCTTAACATTATAGAATACATATTGGTGTAAAATAATCTACCTATTTATTTATTATAATTTTATTATAATTATTTATTAACAATGGTATTTTTAATTCTTTACTGATATTCAATAAAAAGTTATTACTGGTATAATCAGTAAATAAAACACTCTTTTTTCAAATTGATCACAGGCAAAAAAACAGGGTTTTGTTTAACAGATTTATAAACGATAACCACTTAATACAATTTTACACGACTGTTTGAAAAGTACTTTTATTTAATATTCTTGATGAATGATTCTTAAACGAGAGCATTTATTTATTTATTTGTAATGATAACACATTTCTGTTACAACGGATGAACAATAATAAAATTAAATATTAATAAAATAAACAAAAAGAAGCACTTAATTTGTGTCAAATACACTCACAATATAAAAAATTATACAATTTCACTATACTGCATAAAAATTACAAAAATTTAAATGATGCTCTATCAGTTATGCAAGTAATGCAGAATTCATAAAGGTCTAGTATAGAAAGGATAGAATTATTATTTTATTTATTACATTAAACAAATATGAACGAACAAGTACATTTTTTTGGCTAGTTCTAGCAGCAATTTTAATAATGATGATTATCCTCCGTAAGCTTAAAATATATCAAAGTAATACAATTTTTAATTATGCATATTAACTTATGAATAATCAAATTAAGTCAATTATTTAATTATTAAGCCTACTAATTTATTTCTATTTATAATAGTCTATGTTTTATAATTGGTCAAACTAACTACATATTTTGTGCATCACTATTAGTAAACATTAAGGAAATAAACATTTTTTATTTTAGATATTATGCATTATCAGCAGCCTCAGCTTTATTTAAATATGTAGCATATTTACAAAATATGACATTTGCTCCAAAATCAGTAAAACTAGAATTTCAAAACTGTAACGATTCTATTACTTTAGGTAAGATAAAATATTCATAGCATCAAAATATATTTAAATTACTTATTAATGCAATATTTTTATTGTAATTTAACTAAAATATCACAATATACTGATAAAAATAACAATTGGTTAGATGTTATAATATTCACCGTCTATGTTAAGAATAAGTTTGTATATGTAATTTGTTGTTATTAAATTTTTTTCAT